GAACCTCGACCCCGAACGACTTCAATGGATTCCTGGACTGAAACCGAACCAAGCCAGTGACTTGTCGGGCCGTCTGTGGAGTTGTTTTCAAGGGCAGTGTTGGAAAAAGAGGCTCTCGGAAGAGGAGATGCTAATGGGGCGAAGCCGACGCGTTGTTCCATTGCCAACAATTGGGATGCAACGAATAGGAAGAACTACATCTTGGGTCTCGCGGACGCTATGGAAAGTGCATTTCATCGACTTGCATCTCTCAAGGATGCAGAAGTAGGGAGGGTCTGCACCAGGCCGAACGTTTTCCATGCACTGAGAGAGATTCGCAACCTTGAACGAAAACCACATCAGCAATGAGCCCGACATGGACATGGCTGTTTGTTAATGGGTATAAATCGGTGTACCACAGTACCTACTCCGCGAAATGTATACAACTGATCTCCCCCTACTTTGACACGTGGTACAGTACGCGCCACATGATTGCAGACACCCACTTACGATATGTTAGTCACCGCTGCGTGAGCCATAACCATGTCATGGCCTCTGCATCCTTGTGTGGACATACCTTCACATTCTTGCGAAAGGTTTCATGGCTTCAGATGCAATTGAACACGCTAAAATCTCAAATTGCTTCATTCGACATGCGACATAGAGATGCAGCCATATCAAAATTTGATTGATGTTATCAGCATAAGGAGCTCAGAACACTTGCTAATAATCACACTTGTTACCCTTGGCGGTAACGACAGCGAGCATCGCTGTGGCATCGATTTGATGAGCTTCTTGTGGCAGTCCATGGGAATGCTCTCCCATGCAAGCTTGATGGCCGCCATGAGGTCTTGAACATTCACGTATTGCTTGCCATTGGGGTAAACTTAACGGACCAAATACCCCCAATGGTTTTCAATGGGATTAAGGTCTGGGGACAGGGCAGGGTGCTCGAAAATCGTGGCATTTTCGTCCTCCAAAAAAACATCATTGTGGCCTTCGAACGGTGAATAGATGCATTGTCTTGCATGAAAGCAAAATTCTGGACCATAATGCTCATGAGCAAATGGAAACAGATAGTTGCAGAGCGTATCGATGTACTTGTCGGAGTTCTGCTTGCCATCCAGGAAGGCCAACTCCGCCAAACCAGCACCCGAAAACGCACCCCAAACCATGACACCGCCAGCCTTGCTTGCGCGAGAGAAGTATGAGGCGGGTTCCTTGCGAAGATTTTCCCAGAAGAACTGAATTTCTCTCGTCTGACCAGATAACATCAGTCCAACTGGGTGGATCTTCCAAGTGACCCTTCGCGTACTTCAACTGCGCAGTCTTGTGGGCTTCCTTGAGAAAATGCGTGTGCTTGCGTTTCTTGTACTTGTGATACCCGCATGCCTTGAGTCTGCGCTGACAAGTTCTTATTGAGCCCTTGAGCTGGAGGGCCGAGTGAAGTGCCCCGAGCGGACGTTCCAGTTGACGCCGCCGCTCGATAGAGGCGACGGCACTCTTGTTGGACTATCAACTTCATCTTGCGGCCTTTGTGCTTCTTGCTGTAGGTGTCTGGGGTCATCAGGTATGCTCGTACGGTGTCCTTGGAGCGTCCAAGTATCGTACAAATTGCGCGGTACGAAATTCCGTTGCTTCGGAAGATTCGAGCCGCAACTTTCTCTTCGATGGAAAGTGGGGGTGCACTTCCCATTCTCTCAGCGTCAACTAGTACGGCATGAGTGGCATCATCAATTCCAATGACTTACGGGGTTGTTTGTGTTCGAAAGTGTGGTAAAGAGAGCAAAATGCGTTATGACCTACAAATCTATGTCGCAGCATGAAATGTGCTATCCCGCCATGTCGCAATCAAATTTTGCGCTATCAAGGTCGTCACTACT